AACTCCACCGATGTTGATTATCAACACGTTAAATTCAGTGAGGATTGTATGTGGATCAATAATGACAGTTATGCCTGTTGAGTTGTCCATTGTTATAAAATGAGACTTCGTCACTGAAGAGAACATACTGGAAAAACGTCGAATCTTCTCTTATCATTTATAATGCCCAATGACAAAATTGTCTTCTTAAGACATTTTCACTTACATTTGGGTTAAAGTGATAAGTTGATGTGATAAGGATGGAATTTATGTCTTTGTAAAATCCTCCACACAGTAACATAAGGAATTCCTAAATTACGTTATAGTTCTCTAGTCGAAATATGAAGATTCAAGTTTATCTTTGCTAGCAGTGCTAATACACGCGGATTATTAACGTCATCTTCAGCATTTATTTGCTTGCAGTTTCTCTTATCGGTTCTCTTACGGATTCTTCTACTCTCTCGTAATAAAATTCTTCTTATCTGCATTTGGATGTCATCTAAACGGATATTTATTACGATACAATCTTTCTGCTCTACAATAATTTCGTCCAGTTTCACCAAGCACAAAAATAATATCAACAATTTTATTTGAACTGCAAACTGCCATTTTGAAAAAAGCTTAAAAAAGCCCACTAATGTAAAAAAATTGAAAGAAAAAGCTATACGAAAAAAAAAGGAAAGTTGAATCGTTCAATTGGGAAAGATTGGACTCAATTCCGTGCGCGGGAGCGTATATCAAGCAGTGTGGATAGATCGTGAAGACGCGCGCGCGTAAAAATTCCGCTCACATGCGCATGCGCATGCGTACATGGGTAACGCCGGCTATAACTTTCAATCTCCATAATCAGAAAATACTCGATGGAACGTAACTTTATTATAGTGTTTTGGAAAGCTCTCGTGATAAGCTATAAGAATATGTAATAAAAAATAAGGATTTGTATTTTAAAAAATACAATTAATGACCTCGACCTGATTTTGACAAAATCACTCAAGTCCTCATTTCCATCATGTGTCCCTCTTCAAGTTATTTTCAACTTTCGTTCGAAAAATTGTTCAATAAAATCATCGATTCGCGAGATAATCGACCATATCACTTAAAATGAAATACCTTGTATATATGTAATATGTCTTAGATAGCAAGATATCGTCTATTTAACATAATTAATTGGTCATTCTTGATGAATCTAACGTCCTATCATCATAAACATGGATTGTTACAGCCACATAACGTCATTATAAATATTTGTGGAATTTCACGATGCGAGTTAAAATTATAAATAATAACGCAGTTATGCGTATATTTCTTAATGCTTTCGCAATAAAGATTTGCACGTGCATTTTCAATATATAATATGCTTAAAATCAGCTTTGATATGCCTAACACGCCTACTGTGATATTAGTTCACAATAGTTCACATATTCCTCAATTAGTCGATGACGCGACACCCAGTCTGAAGTTGCAGCAGTCATGGTGGAAGGGATAACATGGTGTGCTCACTTTGCAAGCATCTCTCTCTAAGGGGCTCTGCACAATAAAAGGAACAGAAAACAGAGAACAGAGAATAAAAAAATTTCAACCTATCCGAAACTGTGTATTCCACAATACATGATTTCTGATGGATTGAAATTCTTATTCTCGTTCTCTGTTTCCTGTTCTTTTTATTGTACGAAGCCCCTAAATCTCCGCCGTCTCTGTCTGTGAATGTCGCGTCAGGGGAAAAGACTGCCAACTGTGAAACACTAAACATGGGACGATATTCATAGTCCATTTTATTTTAAAACTGTCTTAAATAATGTCTAAGGCTAATTCTACAATGTGTTCTTTGTTTCTTGTTTCTTGCTGTTTGTCTCTGTTTGTCTCTTGCCTTTTTGATCAATAAGACTTTAAGATGCTAATACAGTCCTCGAATTGACTTATGAAATCTTAAGATTGTAATCTGTAACTTAAAACAGTCTTATGCAAGAAAAAGCTATGAATACCGGCCTGTTTCGCGTCGTGAAATTAGTACTGAATTTTTCTATAGAAAGAGAAATATAAAGTGTATTAAACAAGGAAAGATTCAGTATCAATGCATTTAAGACTGTCTTAAGTATAATCTTAAGATGTCATAAGTCAATCCAAGGACTGTATTAGCATCTTAAAGTCTTATTGATCGAAATCTTAAAATATTATTTAAGACAGTTTTAAAATAAAAACAGACTATGAATATCGCCTCATGTTTCACGGTTGACAGCCTTTTCTCTTGACGCGACATTCATAGACAGAAACGGCGGAGATATACGTTTGATAGTTGTTTAAAGCGGGAAAGAGAGTTCTAGAATAGTCTAATGCAGAAACAAAAAACATATTATATAGTGGGTGCTTTCCATTTGATGATATAATGGCTTCTGCATACTGAACGCGGAAACGTTTGCCGCGCGGCAAAATGTAATGCGGTAGCCAGTAAGCTCACAGCTTGAATTATATATACACTAGAATGGGCATCTCCGCTGTGAAGCATAGAAAATCGTGGGACCAATTGATCAGCGCCATTTTTATTTGATCAATATAAGAGCGAATCAGAAGCTTTCAAGTGCTTATGCACACTTACGTTTAGTATGTCAGCAAGATCATTGTGTGTAGTGTGTAGAGTTATATTTGAAAGATTACTTTGAAAGATTATAAAATCGCATGACCGTAAAATGTGCAAAGCATCAACATGAAGTGCTGTGAGTCTGGATGTGGGCAGAGAAGTGGGCAGAAAAGAGCATTTCATTTCATAGATAAGAATTTTTGTATTAAATGTATCAATTTCTGTGTTAATGATGTAAGATATGAAAAGTGTTATTAATGTTATTTTATTGAATACTAATAAAATTCAAGTGACATTATTTTTGTTTATATACTATTCATATCCATATAGATTTCCATACATTGATAGTATCTCGATATATCGATCGCCGCGAAAGTTTCTGATTCGCTCAAATATCGTTCCAACTAAAATGGTGGCTGATCAATTGTGGTCATGAATTTTCCTCGATGCTCATTCTAATGTACATACAGGGTGATTTTAACATATTTCGTCATCCATGAACAGGTAAATCGAAAAGTCATCTACCATTTTGCAGTTTATGCAATAGTTAATGAAATATTAATTACTAAAAATTAATATTGGTCTTGAATAATTTTTTACTCAAATACTATCAACTTTATAGAAAATTCTGAAAAAATTCTCAGAACTTTGTGAGAAGAAAATAAATAATTTTTGTCTTTTGCAGCTTTTCTATAAAATTGATAGTATCTGAATAAAAAATTATTCAAGACCAATATTTGACAATTTTAAGTAATTAATATTTTGTTAACTATTGCGAAAATTGCAAAATGGTAAAGGACTTTTCGACTCAGTTCGATTCACTCTATCTACTCATGATGGGTGACGAAACATATTAAAATCATCCTGTATAGTTCTGTGCTTACAGCTCCTAATGTATTCATTGGTTACCGCGTCTCATTTTGCCGCGCAAGCGTCCAGTGTGCAGGAGTCATCACACAAGCATCGTTCCTTTTTGACATTCAGAGAGTGACAAAGATAGAACGATACTTGTGTCGACTTGTGTCATTAAATGAAAAGTATCTAGTTAAAGGTCATGTTATCTCTTCTATCATGACATGCGTTCATATAGAAAGCAATATCTCTATCTCTTTCTGTCCGTCATTTTTTGTCTACATTCACCAAACCACATACATGTATACAGTAGCTGCGTTCAATAATGCAAATCTGAGGCGTCGGAGTGCTCTTATATTATAGCATATGTCACGTACACTATAGAAAAAGAACACTCCGACGCCTCAGATTTGCATTGCCAAACGCAACTAGTAGCGCAACTCTCTGTCGGCACCTTTAATGTCAGTATTGGCCAAAATGGAGTGCGCATGCGTGAAATAAGTAAGTTACCTAGCGTTATCACGGTTACCACTAACGGTTACCTAAACTCTTTCTCTTTTCATCCTTTTTTCGCTCTGTTAAAACTCCTCACAAAACTCTAGATTTATTTGCGTCACATTCCAACGAACGCGTTGAAGTGAATAAGAACTATTGTAGCATGTTGGAGCATATCATGCAACACGAATAAATCTGTTATTGCAATGAAATAACTTAAATTTTATTAAAATTAATAAAAATAAATTGTAAATATATTGAAAAATAAAGACAAAATGTAGAAAATTAGGAAAAATATTAAAATGTAGGAAAAATATTAAATTAATTAAAAAATGTATATATTCATACAGAAATATTATGTAATTGTAAATATATGCTATGAAAATATTATGAGAAAACTGATATAAAAGAAAATTTATATATAATACATATATATGCCCTAAAAATAAATTTAAAATACAATAAATAAAAAGAAATTTTCTTACTCGGTTTTTTTTTTGTTAACTTTTGTTCACTTTTTCACAAGAATTAGACCAGTTTTTTGAGATTTCTTACACAACATTTCACCAATTGGACAATACACTTCCCTTCAAATTTCTACTCTGAACCATGTATGATTGAAAGACAAATGTATGAAATGTATGGAACATTAAAACGCTTATTTAAATAGAGAGAGAGAGAGAGAGAGAGAGAGAGAGAGAGAGAGAGAGCAGTAAAGAAAGAGAAAATGAGACGGAGCAACTTATTTATTTCACGCATCCGCACTCCATTTTGGTCAATATAAAAAAGCAGTAGAGTTGCACTACACTGTAGCTGCGTTCAGCAATGCAAATCTGAGGTGTTTTCTCATCGGAGTTTTCTCTTTTTCTACAGTGCACGTGACACATGCTATAATATTAGGTGTAGTAAAAAGAAATCCATAAAAAGCCATCTATTGGAAAAATAATGGATTTCTTTTTACTACACCTAATATAAGAGCACTCCGACGCCTCAGATGCATTACCGAACGCAGCTTGCATATACTGTGGCCAAACTCTGATTATAGGATCTCTAGTTTCCGAACACAGCCTAAGTGTATACGTTGCTTTATACTTCTACCTTTTCCAATTTCCAGAGTCGGGTCAGTCGGGTGTTCGGTTCCAGTTGTGAGTGCTCGTGAATAGTCTTTTATTCTCTGGTTTAATCCTGATCGTACTTTAGGTATCAGGTGTTTCTTTTTCTTATCATTTCGCTAATAATAACCATATTACAAGAAAAATGGTAAGTTTTTAAATCCATAATATATATTATTGATTTAGAGATAATGAAAAATGTGGATGAGAGAGATCGTATATCTTAGTAAAATTTATCTTTAGTTTCACCTTTATTTGACCTTTACTAAAATCCTGTATGTATGTCTATTCATTTACTTGTCAATAATTTTTGCATAAAAATACATGTTCATTGCATATTAAATATACTAATTTAAATTTAATCAGTTTCTTGAAAAACATATATACACACACATATATATATATATATATATATATATATATATATATACATATACATATAATCGTGTTTTAATAAATAAAACAATTTTTATATATCTACGGTATTAAAAATTGATAAAAACTTAAATATTACACATATTAAGAATTTTAAGCACGACCGTATATGTGAATACATCAAAAATCTTCGGAGAAGACATTTTAGATTATAGTATATATTATATATCTAACCATATAACAGTTTCTTTTCTTTTCTAATTCAAATTATATATAATTTGTAATACACTAATCACCAGTATGTCTATATTTTAAAATTATTATATTATCATTATCAAGGATAACAAAACATAAAGTTTAATATTTCAATACAATAAAGAAAGCAAAGATCGATCAAATTTTGAATGTTTAAAATATAGACATACTGGTGATTAGTGTATTATAAATTATATATAATGCAATTTGAATTAGAAAAGACTGTTATATGGTTAGACTATATTCTAAAATGTCTTCTCCGAAGATTTTACTCTATATATATTATAGTAGAGAAAAGGCCCCTATTATGAAATACCAAGTTTATTTTGGGTAACTAAAAGCCTATGGGCAGAATTTTAAAAAATAATACGTCATTTTGAAGGAAATTTAATAAGCTTTAAAATAATATTATATAAAATTTAAGTCAAATTCAACAACAAAAAATTCAAAAAACTAGGATGAATGAGAATCAGCGTGGTAGTTAGTACACAATCTTAAATCTTTATTCCAAAAAATAATACGTTTCAGTTCACTTTGGAACCATCTTCAGCAATACAATTTCAAAATATCAATCCTTTCATGTCCAAGAAAAAATCATCATCAAATTAATAGATTTGATGTTATAAAATCCCAAAACATAGAAGGAATTCGTCTCGACATTGGATCAAAAACAATTAAAATTTATTATCACTAAAGAGTATCAAGTTAAAAACATATGTTGATCGCAGTTCGAACGAAACATGACTTTTTTTTTTAATGTAAAAATAGCAAATTGCAAAGTCAAAAAATATGTTCCTAATAAATGCCCTGAGAATATCGATAATATCGATAAAACGCAAAGCACATCAGTATTACAATTAAAAAACTTTATTTAATGTTTCTAAAATACAAACAAACAGCTAGTGTGCGCAAAAAATGAGCATGCAATGAATTATATTCAGAACTCATCTTTAGGTAATTGAAATCAAACATCGCAGACATAGGCACTCGATTCATTCCGGTTGTCTTTTTTTATTATTGTACAATAACATTTATATTTTAGCATCGATTTTCACTGACATAGGAGCATAGGTTATTTCATATTAGAGATACCCTGGGTATCTCGTATTATGATTTCTATGCCTTATAGTTTTACAATCAAATCTAACTTTTGTAATTAAATAATTCAACATCCCGTATTTTTCTATTAGTACGATCTTATCTCTATCACTACATGAAGAATTTATTGCCAAATATTTACTTATTAAATAATAAACAAGATTTAAAGGTTCATCTTAATGGAACTTGAAGACATCCAAATTCTAAAATTTTTTTTTAAAGTAATAGGCATGATTTAATAATGCATTTTCCACTAAATAGTTTTCAATCTAAAAACAATAAATTCATGGTGGAACGAATAGATAATATTTATTAGGAACAGGAACACCGCTATCTCATATTAGGCGCCTATCTCCTTAATAGGGGGCTTTCTTCTATATATTACATGTACTATGTACTTCAAGTAAAAATTTTCGTCTGAGAGAATGTACCCTTAGTATAATTATTAAAGCGTAATATAATCGTAGATTCAAGAATAATTTTTCTCTTTTAATTTTATATTAGACAGAACCGATAAATGTCGTAGTTACTGGTGCTGCTGGTCAAATTGCGTATTCTTTGCTGTACCAGATTGCAACTGGTACAGTTTTCGGTCCACAACAACCTGTTAATCTCAGATTATTAGATATTCCACCTATGATGAAGGTATTGGATGGTGTGGTTATGGAATTAGAAGATTTAGCACTTCCTCTTTTACAAGGTGGGCATTGAAAGCTACATTTAAAAATTAATTTTGTATGAATATATTGAATATGTATGTATATCTACACACAAATATAATATATATATCTAACTACAAATATTATTTAATCATTTCAACATATTTTTAATGTTTACATGCGTACAGGAGAGAACATGTCGCATGCGTGTGTGCGTGCGTATGTATGAATATAAAAGAAAAAAACGCTCATTATCTATGAATTATATAATAGTGAAGACAGATTATACAGGATGTATTTTTAAATAACATCTACTAATTTTATTCCTAATAGAAAACTGAATCGAAAAGTCCTCTATCATTTCACAATTTTCACAATAGTTAACGAAATATTCATTTCTAAAGATCAGTAAAGAATTCTTGAAGATATCTAATTAACATTGTCTTATACGTTAATTTTAGACATTTTGCTCATTGAGTAACTAAAAAAAAATTGCAAAAGTTGTAAAATGGTAGAGGACTTTTCGACTCAGTTTTTTATTAGGAATAACACTATATGATTAGCGAACGTTATTTCAGATATACCTTGTATATAAGAAACTTAATATTGAGTTTTGATGTATGTTGTAGCAGAATATTTTAAGGTTTAGATTTGTATTAAAAAAACATTTTTAAGTGATGTAAAAGTTTCTTGTTAAATCTTGTGAGAAAAATTAATAAAAAAGACATAATAACGAATTAGAATCTCTAATGGCACAGTTTTGGCTTCATTAATCATTTCAATTTTTTCTTTTTTGTATAAAATATATCATACAGAATAATGAAAATATATGAGTATAATATAAATAATTTTAAAAAATACAAATAAAATAACTACTCATAATCACAAATAAGGACAGAAAATTGCCGAATAACAACATTTTCGGCAATTATAGCGAAATACCATTGGTTTTGTGTTAAGAATAAATACATGTTTTTTGAAAAATTTACATTTATACAGGGTGATATGGGGTTAAACCGCCAAACTTAAAATATATATTCATGACCTCAAAATAAACAAAAATTTTCCTCTGAGCGTATGCTTATAAATGCTTCATTCGAGATATTTACTTCTAAAGTTATGCAGAACTAGGAATAATGTCGAAATAAGATCTATTTTCTTTATTGTTTTACAATAATCAAAATTTAATCATTAAATGTTTTGTTCAAAATAAAGACTCCAGCTGGAGGCATGCATTATATCTATCAATGAGAGAACGAATTGCTGACTGACATTGTGCGCCTGTAATTTCATTGCACACTTGCACAATTCTTCGTTTTAATGATTGACAGTTATTAATAGGCACTGCATACATTTTTTGCTTCAGAGTACTCTATACAAAAAATCTAATGATGTTAAATTCAATGAACACAGAGGCCATGTCACAGGACCAATATGATCCATCTTCCGGGAAAATTAATATTAAGCCACTGTCAAAGACCTCTGCCATAATAAGCAGGACAGTCGTCCAAATGAAACCAGGAATTTATTCTCATATTCAAAGACATGTTTTCCAAAAGCTCAGAAAGTGTTTAAAAATGTGAGAAATCCATTCGCATTCAAGCGAACTGGTAGAAAATGAGGTCCAATTAAAATATTGCCCATTATTCTTAAACATATGTTATATTAAAAAACGTGTTGAAAATGTTGTTCATGGATTGCTCGACAATTCTCATACGACCAAACTATTTCTTTGATTGAAAAAACTTTGCCTAGTAAATATGACCTTATCTGTTCACAAAATGTGTTGTGAAAATTATGAATCATTATCTATTTATCTGTTTAAAAACCAATCGCAAAATATTCTTGGAATATTCGGTAATAAATGCTGGACATGTTGAAAAGGATATTGATGACGTCCATTGGCTGAAAGTGTCTCCCACATGAATGTGGATGAAATTCCTAACGGAGAATCAGATCTTCGGATACTTGTTGATGGATTTTGATCGAAATGTTGCAATATAATGGCTGTTCTTTTATTTTGCAGCGGCAAAAACTCTATCAGTCCAGGGAACCATATTAAATGACCCATTTTCCTTCAGTCGTTGAAATGTTAAAGAGAATACTGATTTATCCGGCAATCTTCTTTTTGAAAATCACGCGGCGTATTCACGGCGAGCAGCGTTAGCATTTCCCATTTCGTCACAAAACCCATATAAATATATCATATCGGCACATTCACTATTAGAATACGTACAAAGCATGATTATAAGTTTATTCGACAAAAACATTCAATGAATTAATAGGTACGAGCTACAATATATATAATAAGTATGAGTTTTGCGAACAAAAGCCTATCAATGATCTTCAAGCTTCAAAATAAAAATAAGAGATATTTCAATTATTCATTCCTATAGTTCTGTATAACTTCAGAAATATCTCTTGAACGAAACGTTTGCGAGCATACGTCCAGAGGAAAAAATTTTTGTTTGTTTTGAGATCCTCTCTGGAGGGGGGGGGGGGGGGGGAGAAAAATATATATTTTAAGGCAGTTTAACCCAGAAACATCCTGTATAGTATAGTATAGAATATATTATATAGAATATATAATATAGAATATAACATTATATTGCTATTTATATTCTAATTTTTACTTATTAAGTTTATCTAGCTGTAAATAGCTTAATTTAAATTTTTAGAAGTTTTGCCAACGGCTGAACCAGCCAAGGCCTTCAATAACATAGCAGCTGCTTTTCTGGTTGGTGCAATGCCAAGAAAAGAAGGGATGGAACGTAAAGATCTTTTGGCCGCAAATATAGAAATTTTCAAGGTGCAAGGCGAAGCATTGGATAAATATGCTCGCAAGGATGTTAAAGTGTTAGTCGTAGGTAATCCTGCCAACACTAACGCGCTTATCTGTTCACATTATGCACCATCTATTCCGAAAGAAAATTTTACAGCGATGACTAGATTGGATCAAAATAGAGCACAAGCAGCATTAGCTGCGCGATTAAATGTACAGGTAATATGTATTACCACGCTTAAAACATTTTTTTCACAAAACATAAAATTTGATTTTATTATGGAGAATTGATATTTTTTTCAAATGTTTTTATATTAACAATATAAAACGTAAGACTATACTTAGATTGTTGCAACATTGTACTGTTTTGAATATTCCTATTTTATAATCTCGTTGATACAGATGGATAAAGTGAAGAATGTCATTATTTGGGGTAATCATAGTTCCACGCAATATCCTGATGCAGCACATGCAACTGTAACGCTTTTATCTGGCTTAAAAACAGTACCATCTGAGATAAATGATGATGAGTGGTTGAATAACACTTTCATCGAAACAATTCAAAAACGCGGCGCTGCTGTAATAGCGGCTAGAAAAATGTCTTCTGCCATGTCTGCTGCTAAAGCCGCTGGAGATCATATGAGAGATTGGTGGTTTGGTACTAAACCTGGAGAATGGGTTAGCATGGGTGTTGTATCTGATGGAAGTTATGGAATTCCAAAAGATATTGTATTTTCCTTTCCTGTCATTATCAAGAACAAGCAATATGAGATAGTGCAAGTAAGTTATCATGTAAAATATATTTTGAAGTAATTTCAACTTAAATATATGATAGAAATGTAGACTCTTTTCATAATTTTGGAGTACTCTATATCTGATACTTCTATATGTTAACACAGCGATTTAATGGTTTGTACTTTTATTAGCGATGTTTTTTTAATAATTATTTAAAATTAAATTGATTATTCAAAATCAAAATTATTGAAAGCAAATACAGCATTTTTCATCATATTTAGAAAAATTTTTAAAAAGAATAGAAAAAATTCATCATATGATTTATTTTCAGAATCTTCCAATTAGCAACTTTGCACAGTCAAAGCTGGATATTACATCTAAGGAATTAGAAGAAGAACGTGCTGAGGCAAATAACGTACTAAAAAAGTGACTAGTAACATCAGTGTCAAATAGTGAGATGCAAAAGAAATTTCTGTTATCAAAATTGTAAAATATATAATTGTTCTGCATAATCACATATACATGCATGTATGCATACGCACACACACACACACACACACCACACACACACACACACACAGTGTCTGAAAGATTGTAATAATGCTTGGTTAATATTATATGCATCCGTTTTTTGTTGTATGACAAATTTTTCAAGCCTGTTGATTGACTGTAAGACAAAAAGATCCAAGATTCTCTCTATCTTACAGCCAATTAACACGTTTGAAAAATTCATTGTATGACAAAAAACGAACGCATGTAATATTGGCCTAAAAATAAATTTCTGAATCATTTTAAGGCAAATTCTAATATCAAAATATCGAGACTATAATATTTTTTTTAATAAGCATTTAAAGTTGATAATCGTATAAAGTCAGCGCGTTTAAGTGTCGTTGGCATTTTGCGTTGGCACTTACCCATAGAAGGGACATATTGTATGCAGTTAGTATATCTTTTTAAATCTACCCTCTCCGTCTACGGATTATTCATAGAAGAAAGTTACCAACTGTGAAACGCTAAACATAGGACGATATTCATTGTCCGTTTTTATTTTAAAACTTAAACGTCTTAAGGGGATGCTGGAGTTACCAACGGAGCGTTATTTCCTATTTCTCAAATAATATCATTTTTCTTACACAGAATGAAAAATCCTTCTTCAGAAAAAGAAAAAACACAAATACTTTCGGAAAAGTTCAAACCGGCATGAAAATCCACAAAAAAATTGTAAATTACAATTTTCTGTAATCATGTTGGTTCTTTCTCCACATATATATATATAAATGAATGCAAGCATATATCCAAACAAAAAGTACTTTTCCGTATTTGAATAATTTATAAGAGTATCATGAGACCTTCAAATTATGATTCACAAGAGAAATGGTTTGAGAAGTACGATTTGAGTGTACATAATCTCACATTCAAGTGATATATAAGCTAAAGCAGAGCAAGAAATGTACGTAACGTTTTTATTTAATGATTTTGCTTAATGTACGTAACATTTTAATTAATGTATGTAACATTTTCTTGATGTATGTAATATTTTATTTGGAATTAAAAATCTGTTTTATCGACATCGATCAAATTCGGCCATCGCTCCAGCATCTTAATCGACTACCGGCCTGTTTCGTGAAATTGATACTAACTTATGCAAGGCAATATGATTTGCTAACCTTAAGGCTCCTAAGTAGTCACCACAGATATATTGAATTGTGACGTCAGAAGCGAGAAATGACACGTTAATTTTACATACTATTTATAAATAAAGACAATTTGGATAAAACAAAATGATGAGATTGCTTTAAAACATTTATAAAAATGGACGAGAACTGTGCTTATCTCTTTTGACAGTCAGTAAATTGGGTCATCTAAAAAGTATCCGCGGTTTTTTGTCATTAGATGTGTGTTGATGGTCATATATCTAGTGACAAAGTACCGCGGATACTTTTTAGATGACCCAATAATTGTGAAAAGTGATAAAAGGCATGTGTAAGTGAAAATAAGCTACGCATGCGCGCATTGAATAAAGCACTTAATGTGCCTTTTATCACGATTATTTATTGACTATCAGGGGGGATAAGCATAGTTTTCATTCATTTTTACAAATGTTTTGAAACAATCTCATCATTTTGTTTATCTAAATTGTTTTTATTTATAAATTATACGTAATAAAAATTAATGTCATTTCTCGCTTCTGACGTTATGACTCAATATATTGGGTCATCTAAAAAGTATCCGCGGTACTTTGTCACTAGATATATGACCATCAACACACATCTAGTGACAAAAAACCGCGGATACTTTTTAGATGATCCAATAGTTGTGATGACTACTCAGGAGCTTTAAATGCTTATAATTCAAAAACTGTTATAGCCTCGATATTTTGACATTAGAATTTTTGTTTCAAAATGATTTCAAGAATCTACCATTGTTACAATTAGCTTTGTCTTTTACCGGACTCCCTGTATACATACATGTGCACGTATATATATTGGGCCATCTAAAAAGTATCCGTGATTTTTTGTCACTAGATGTGTTGACCATCAACACTATCTAGTGACAAAAAACCGCGGATACTTTTTAGATGACCCAATACATACGTATATAAAATACATGGTGATAAGAAATTACACACACACACACACACACACACACACACACACACACATACATACATACATACATACATACATACATACATACATACATACAAGGTGTCTGGAAATAATCGCCAAAGATTATCATAAGATTTCATGGACAGATAGAGCGGACTACTGAGTCGAAAAGTTCTCTACCATTTTGTAAGTTTCCCCAATAGTTAATGAGATATTAATCCTTAAAAATAGCCGAATACGCGCGTCCGTCCGACCTACTACTGTGCGAAGTGTATACATGCCCCGCGCCGCGCACACTGCTGCGAGCAGTGCGAGCCTCCATAGCTCGGACAATGCGCTTGCCAGGCTATCCCTGCTCTCCACTGTTCGCGCGCCAAGCGATCGGTAGGCGTATACACTTCGCAATAGTAGGCCGGGTACGTATTTGGCTATCTTTAAGGATTAATATCTCATTAACTATTGAAGAAACTTACAAAATGGTAGAAGACTTTTCGACTCAGTTTAGTCCGCTCTACCTGCCCATGAAATCTTTGGCGATTTCCAGACACCCTGTATATATATATATATAAAATATCCCAAAAATAGAATATAAAAAATCACGTCTATGATAATTGCATATTTAGCCCAATAACTAACGTTACAAAAAAAAGAGTGTAGTAATACACATCTTGTAATTTTTTTTACTGAAATAGAATAAACGCGTAACTCACAATGTAAATATATTAGATAAAATGGTTTGATTAGAAGATATGAAAGAAGAAATGAAAGCATTAATACATAATTACTAATAAAATATAAATGTATGTATCCTGTTATAGATCGTACAGCAAATTATATTAAGATATATAGTATACATAATGTTTATGTATAACTTTATAAAACTTGTAACGAAGGTATACATCGGGAAATATATTATACATTACAGCACTTTTTTGCTTTTATTCATCTCCTTCATGAGAATAATTTATATTACAGTAATGATAATTTTTTAAAGTCAATATATCATAATAATTCAATCTTTTCTCACATTTATATTATCTTTGTATCTTATTTTCTAAAAACTATTATTACAACTATATATCTCGAATTTTTTTCTATTATAATCGCGCACGTGAGCATTAAGTAGCATAGTATTGTACAAGGATATAGTAATTAGTTTATCCAATTTTGGTAACGCACGCAATATCGCAACTTGTTTTTTTTTTCACATTTAAAGAGATACTTCTGCGTGTTTTAGCATATAGAATATTTAGAAGTTAAATACATAAATATACAAGGAGCAAATATTTGAAAGCTGTAAATATTAGCCTAAATACTATACGAAACATTTTTAATATCATGAATGAAAAATGTATCATTTTACGAATTATGTCAATTTCGATTTACATAATTTTCTTTTACATAAACATTTTTAGAACATAATTTGTTTACGTAATACATGTGCATATAAATATTCTCATAATAAAGAAAGGAATTTTTTTAATTTACTTTTTGCACAAACTATTTTCAAAGTAATATTTATGATAACATTTCTATAGTGAAGAATATGGTTATTCAAGTGAAAAATTTCCAAGTTTTTCTTCCATGAAAATAGCAAATATATTTAAAATATTTCTATAAAGACATTTGATGAAAAATAGTCTTTGAATTCGATCAATTTTATAATGGTTTATGCAATCAAAATTTTGAAACATGTCATTTACAGATATCTTCCATAACAAATGTTCTATAACATACATACGCGTGCACATGAACGCATTCGCGCGCATTTCAGCATTCACGCGTATATATATTCGAAAAACAAATTATTTTTTATTTGCAGTATATAAGATAATACATCTGTCTTATAAATCGTTGTTAATGCAATATATATCAAAGTGCAATATGATTGCAGAAATCTGATTAATCATAGCTTATAAATCATGGATTCAACGAGTAATAATATCTATAGTAAAATAAAATAATTACTAATTCACGCCAAGAAATTACATTAAATATAAATATGTATATCGTATATATATTTTTTTTACCTTTTTTTTTACCTATATTTAATAATTTAATTGGATTGACTCATAAATAAGTTATGTTGTAAATAATTTATCTATGGAGAATCCCAAGTTACTTTAATTATACTTAATAATTTTTACATTTATTTAGTAGTGAAGGGTCCCTTAGTTACAAATCAGTATATATTATAGTACATCATTTTAAAATCATGAAAGTAAACTCTTAAAACGGAAGATTTGAAAGTACATATGCGCCATAATATATAACATAATTTTTGAGAATTTATTAAGGGAGCAGTGCTATTGTAATGGAAAAATTACATTAATGTATAGTGAAAATGTTATAACAGATCGAGGAGTGTGAAAATGATTTACGATAATTTCCTTCGAAAAGTATCACTCACGGACTAATTCCGAATAAAGGTTATTCTAATTTCAGTAACAATACTTTGAAATTATTGATGGAACAAAATCCACGTTACACGAGAAAATTAAGAAATGTTAAACATGTCATAGCTGCGTTTTGTTATTTATAAAGACTCTGTAAAAGAAAATGAAAGTTATTTATGAATCAACCCAATGTATGTATGTACGAAATATTACGAAGATCAATATACAGAAAATCAATGTGATTTAAGAGAGCTTGAAGCATTGAATGATAAATGTACTATGATTTATTGATCATAAATTTACTGAAATGATAAGATACATTTTTCAACGTAGATATCTGAAAAAAGGATAGAAAAAAAAAACAAGAATATGTGAAATCATTTTTTATCTAAATTAAGAAATAAAATATGGAGGCAAAACAAAATAGATCAAAGAAACATATTTAAACATTTTAGACACATGTTTTTGCTATCTGTTTATACTAATTCGTACCAGAAAAATAAAATTATCAAATTACAATAAAGGCCGTTCATCTATTTTTACATATACAATGTATACATACACGCGCGCGCACACACACATACGCGCACACACACACGCGCGCGCGCACACACACACGCACGCACACGCGCACACACACACACACACACACACACACACACACACACACACACCTATCTCGATCTGTTAAGTATAATTTTTTTCCCGCATAATTTATGACTAACTTGAATCTTGAGATAAGAGAATAAATTCAATTCAAGTGAAACCCTCTTTCCCGAGTAGCAGCCAACAGCCTTTCTCTCAGGATTTCTTCTGTAGGATATTCTGGTAATTTTAAGTAATGAACACAAGTATTAACAGAAGGATAACCACCAGAACCAGCGTCCACTTTCCGTACGACAGTTAATCTGGGATGTAAATTACATAAACCACCTGGAGGTAGAGCCGAACAACCGGTGGCAAATTGTAAGAATGCTTTTCTTTCAGATCCAGTTAATGATAACAGTACGTTGACAAATCTTTGGAAACCAGGGCTGAAAAAATAGAATTAAATGAAATAATGTGAGATTAATGCTATGTCTATTATTTAAGTCCATTTAATTTATATCTATTTTTATATACAGATTTACATAAACTTTGCTCCTAATAAATTTATTATAAAAAATAAGTTGCGATATCACAGTGTACAACATATCATTGATGCACTGTCTTACCTTTCCTTTGTGTATCCTAATTTTGGCTCGGTGTAATTGAGCAAATCTTCTCTTGTCCATTGTGGATT